TCGAGCAAATGAAATTACTTTTGTTTAGCTTTAACGTTTCTGGAACTAATCGCTTGCCGAGATAGTCCTATTAGCTAAAAATATTGATGGTTTTTAAGGATTTCCAAATATCTTAAGATAAAATTTTAAAATGATTGGTACAACTTTCACATTTGCCAAATGTAAGATAATGCTCCACGGTTTGCCTTTATGGATAACCTATTTTAGAATAAGATTGATTGGCCATGTAAACAAATTTAATTTTATGGAATACTAATGTGAACCTGTTAACGGATATAAAAACTCTACCTTTAATTGATCACTGAGTAGTGACTGACATGATTGTACATCAAGTCCCTCTTAGTGCTGATCAAATTCCACCGACCAAGTTTCAATGTGGTCGCTAGTCCAAGTGACTCGACATTTCGAGTACTATGTTGGAATGTGAGGTAGCTGTTGGAAGTAGTCTATAGGGAACCTTGTTTGACCTAGGTTTCGTGTCATATTACATTCATTGACAACGTGTACCTGTAATCTTGAGGGAACTTATGCTCTTATGAGGATTCGATTTCATACCATTCAGCCTCATAGTCAGAGACGCAAAGATTGAGCTGTTCTAGATGTCGATTACCTCGAACAATCAACTTACATCTCAATTCTAGTTGATTGTATAGCATAAAGTTTAAAATTTATACTTGACCAATTTTTTTGTTTAAATTATAAACGCTTACGTGACTTATGAAAATGATTTTAAATGATAAATTCACTATTTTCATGAAATCGAATACTATTAACATAAATATAGTAGAAATCAGATTCATTTAACTGTTAGATAATTTATTCGATTATTTATTTTAAGATAACAAGTGTCATTTAAAATGATAATATTTCATAATAATTTACTGTAGAGTACTGAATTGTTAATAATCTTGAACGGCTGTATGTATACAAACATAACAAACAAATTATTGGACAACTGTTTCTAGTGTCAAACTTATCATAAAATCTCTGGCAGCATTTTGTTTATTTTGGTTAATGTTATATTTTTAACAAGGTTGTTTTCTATGGGATGGCAATACTGACCCTATGCCTAATTCTCCTTCTTTACCTAGGCTTAGGATCAGCAATAACCCTAGAAGAACTACAAGCGGAATTTCTGGGAACATAAATTACACAAAAAGTAGTGTGCTTATTACTTATCGTATACTCAAAGAAAGATTTAAAAAATTTAGAAGGAGTTCAATTGAGTCGTCTTATGTTATAATGAAAGACAAGTATACCAAAGAACTATTAACACTGAGATTCTGTTATTTCGCGATTAATGAGCTCTTTTTCATCTTAACTATTTATTTTAGACCAATATTATAGCTATAATTCATCACCTTTTCTTTGAATTCTATTATATCTGATCTGAATCAGATTTTTTTGAAAAATAATTCAGATCTGATATTTATTAAGAAAGAAATCCACATGAAAAAAAAAATTATTAATGTTATCAAAAATCGATTATTCATTCAAAGATATTTTGTACTAAAAAAAATGAAACGATTAAGAAATCAATTTTACATAGAAAGAGAATTAGATTGTTATTTCAACTTATTTTAATGAGTTTGTTATATCGAATAGGTGTGTGCCCTGTTTGATATATATAAACGTGCTGAATCCTGCCAATTAGGGAGGAGTAAATTTATTGATCAGAGTAATGATATCACAAAGACCGTATGACTAGTCTTGCGTACCTATCAGTCCTGCTATCTGCCTAGCCCAACCAGTTAAGTCCAGAACACCAATAATAGCCTCTGCAATATGAATCATTATATTCAAATACACTGAGTTTATATACTATTCAAACAGACCACATCGTACCATAAAATAGAAAATAACATTTGTACAAGATTTGGCCAAATGTGGCCGTGAATAGGTGGAACAGTAATCAATAGACTGGGGATAACTCAAGAATAGTAAATCGTATAATGAAACTCTATGGGTCAAAATAAAGCTCATAATAAAAAGGAACATGAATATGAATAGTTGAGTTACTTAGCAACTATATGATAGGAAATATACATATCATATTGGTCCATAAATAGTTCTCAAAGTCACCATTCATAATTCGCTTCGGGATATAACAGAATTCATACTTTCTTTTGTGATAAAATATTATTTTCAACATTCAATTCATTAATGTTGGCAGACGTACTACAAAATTTAGGACTATTCAACTACAAGTATTATCCCTTGGTCTTTAATTTTGTAGTACATCTGCTAACATTAATGAATTGAACGTTAAAATCCAGTTTGAAAGCCTCGTTCATCAGACAAATGACCTTATTTCAGTATTTATTATTTTCAAATCAATCGATTTTTAACAAATTACCCAACTGATTATTTTTTCATTTTGATTTGCTCAGGTTAAGTTTTTTTGATTACATGGAAACTATTCAAGTAAATATAAAAATTGATAAAATCATAGTTGATTTAATCAATACGTTTAAATATGTTGAGCCAATAATAGATTTGTTGAAGTTAGAATTTGCCAATTAATGTTTTTTGAATAAATATACATGACAGTTATATTCGAAGTGGTATTGTAAAAAATTTAAGGTACCATGTACTCATAAAACACCAGTTTTGCTTGATGATACTCGGTAAGAAAGAACTTGATGAAACTAACATCAAACTTCTACAAACCTTATACTCAAGACCTTGATACGAAATATAGTATTAATGAGTAGGATATTGGTTTGCGTACAAAAGTCAAGTTGGTTAGCTGGGTATCGAATTAATGAGAGAAGAGTTTCATGTGAATGATGCAGTCGCTTAACCATAGATTTTTGATTAATCAAATTAAATCAAACTAACGGTGTCCTTATTACATGTTACTTACTCACCAAACTATTCACTTTGACCAATTATTTACTGACTAAATCACATATTTTGTAATTAATTGATAAGTCAATTAATTCTCTTAAGAATATCTGATTAAATTTGAGAAAAGCTGAAATACTAGTAATTATCATTTTGTTTTAATATCCGATCATTTAACCTTGTAACCCTACCTACATTGAGATTCGGACATAAAATGCAGTAGGTGTTTCACTCTGTCGTACGGCTTTATCACGAATAAAATACAGGACTTTCAGGTCTTAACCTCCAAACTACTGAATTTTCACTTAGTGGTTAACACTTCTAACCTCGGTTAGTTATCCAATCATTCAATATTACTGGTTATATTTTACTCACGCCTGATGTGAATGTCCAGTGCTTCCTGGTTTTCAGTTTTTGTCTAACTTAATGCCACCCCTTGATATTAATCTTAAATACCTTATTGTTCCCATGTGAACAGTTAGTTTCTCGATTCTCATAATTTTTAAGAAAAAGATACTTTTAAAAGAAACCATATTTTTTTCTGAAGGGTAAAAAAAATTTGAAAATACTGATGAGATTTATTATAAAATCCCCTGATTTTACATTTATCTGTGTATTTGTACTTTCTTAAATTATGAAATGTGTAATAACTTGAAGCTCAGTAAATCTTGTCGATATTTTTGAAAAATAGTGATTTGAAGTAGTTAAAAGACGCTTTCAACGACATAAAACACACACAAAACAAGAAATTATGGAAAACCACAAGCTCGGATTGCACAGTATGCCCTAGATACAAAATACGATCTGTTAGCATAAAGAAAGATAGATGGTAAGTAGTGACCATACTAACCCCAATTCTTCTGTACTGCACATGTTAAAGTTCCAATGCTTCCAAAAGGACCTCGTAAGAGCATTTTTGTTGAAGCGCTCTCTTGGTTATTCTTCTCTGAATTTGCTCCGGAAGTACGCAAACCTGATGGGTTCTTTAATCGAACATTATCACTCAGGTCAGAGCTTATGGAGAATTTTCAACTTATTTTGCAACTTCAAATGGTGTCCGACTAGACTGTCCACTATCTCCAATTTGTTCAATTTCATCCCAGATCTGCTACTGAAAATAACGTTCTTGTTGACTGAACTTTCGGAAATCGGCCTCCTACTAGGAGGTCTACTTACTGGATACGAATACGCAGATGGTATAGTCCTGTTTGGTGAAGACAATGATATAATGCAGAGTATTTTAGTAGCACTGAGAAACAATACCAGGATGTTTGGAACGCGTTTATCCATTTCTAAATACGAATTGTTGCTTCAGGACTGGTGTGCGTCAACACCTAAACTAAGGTTAAGGATAGAAGTGGTCGAACTCATCGACAGCTTCACTTATCTTAGAAGTCTGACCAACCCTAATGGGTTGGTTTAGAATCGATCACAATGACGTAGGTGTTTACACTCTTTGTCTTCCCTTTCGAATCATAATAAGTGACGATCTCAAAACAACAAGCAACTATAAGGCTGCTGCTGTAAAAGACTATAGGGTATTATGGATTATTCATAAGTCTTTTCAGTACATCGATGATGAAATGTTTAGATTATTATACCCGAATTTCATGAGACCGCATTTGGAATATGGGATTCAAGCAGAGAGTCCTTGTTTCATGTATGAGGCGGGTATGTTGGAACGGGTCCAACGACGAGGGAGTAAAATGGTAAAAGATCTCTCTGACCTAAATTATGAAAACAGACCAAGACACTTCAACTTATTTCCATTATCTTACCGTATAATACGGGGTGATCTGATATTGGCTTATCGTATGCTGAACGATGACCTTGGTATCAATATATCTTATCTTTTTCTTCAGTCTAGGACTGATCATTTGAGAGGACATTCGGAGATGGTTCGAAAACCGAGATCCGACCGTCTACATCTGTAGTTTCGTTTCTCGCACTAAGTAGTGAATTACTAGAATCCTCTACCAGAGCACGTAATATCAGCACATTCTGTTGATATATTTAAAGAAAGATGAGGCCTCCACAGTGTTACAAACTGCAAAGATTAATAAAGGTCAACAGACCTATCCTTATTACTGAAAACTAGATAATGAGCGTAAGGATACTACTAGTATAAGTCTATCTATTCGGTGCATGTATCACAACCAGATACATAAGCCTTGAGAATGAGAACCAATGTTTTGGATCCAGGATACGACAATCATGTCCAAAATTTAGATTAATTCATTACAGCTACGTATTTAGAAAGCAGCTTTTAGGCAAATCCGTCGGATGACTCACATGTATGCTGACAAACTTCGTTATCAAAGGGACAAATAGGTATGCACTCATTTTTTTACATTACATTAATTATGGGTTGATATTTGTGGATAATCAGTAGTACTTAGAACTAATCCCTAGAATTATTTCCTTATAAGCATTCTCATTAACATTTCTAAGTGAATACCGGAGATAATCTGCAATTATAAAACCAAGTTTAGAAATGAGGACATAACTTTCAGCGACTTTGGACGTAGTCGCAACCTGATAGATCATTGGATAAAGCAGGGTACGAAAACCGAATGGAAAGCTCAATTATTGTAATGTGCGGCATTTTACCTTTCAAGGCCACTAATCGCCAGCCAAATTAGCCACCTGACAATAATAAGGTCATTGCTGATTATGTAAATGTAATTGGCTAGCTTATTTATCGACGTATGAAAGGCAGGTAGTTCTGATTGGTCAAAATGAAATAAAAGGTCAGTAAACTGGAGGCCAATTGGAATGAAGTAAAAATCGTATTATCCGAAACTCTTTGATAGATCGAGTCACTGGTCCAGTTGAATTTTGGGGAGTGGGTTGTTCTTTTGAGTATTGTCTAGGTGACGTAGCCGTGCATAAAAAAGCTAATTAAAGCAGAATCTGCAAACCATGATGTCTTGTTTTCAGAACCTGTCAGACGCACTAGATGATACTTTTTCTGCAACTGTGCAGTCGGTAGATGAACTGGATTACGCATCTGCAACACTCGTCTTAGGTAATTTTGAGCTAGATTTTCGTCGAAATGTAACTAGTATTGTGACTTTTTTGCTACTATACATTTTTGCGTTTTTTTGCATTTTCGCTCTTAATTTTTGATGCGTAATAATGTTCTGAAACTTGTAGTTATTTGTCTCTACTAAAAGTGTGAATTCTTACCAATTTAGGTCGTATTTTATGGTTACAAATCCACCTATATTCCATCAAATTTTCGATTTAATATGAGTTGTGTGTGATTTATACGACCTAAACACTACCTATCTTCAGATGGTTCCGTCCAATATTGCACAGAAAACTTAAGATCTTATAACTTCATGCTTCTTTCACTAAACCTAACAAATATTAAGTTGTTTAATAGCAATTAGAATTAAATAGTGATGCCACCTGTATCTGATAGTAGTGAGGCGTTTTTCACAAGCAACCAACATTGTCAAAAATGACTAACTAGAAGCTTACTAAGAGGTCTTAAAATTGTTAGGCCCACAGTTGTGGTCATCTTTGCCCCAATCATCAGTGTGTATTTAAAGATATTGAGTAATTTCAAAGGTTATGTGCCAGATTGTCTAGAATCTTGGTCATCTTCTGAAGGTGTCACCCGTGTTTACTATCAATATAGATCAGCAGTAAATTTCCACTTTTTAACCAGTTCCTTAATGGTTAGAGTGCTTGGGCTTCAACTAATTAGTTTCTAATATTAACCCAGCTCGGACTACTTTGCTTTAGATATGTGGGTAGTATTAAAACCCATCACGCAAAATGACTTGAACGCGAGCACGTCAATATATTATTACTACCACATAGACCCACACATTTAATTTTCAGTTTCCTATGTCAGTCTATCATTTACTGGTTCTCAGAGATCGGTCCAATGCTTTGACCTTTCTTTCAGATCATTTAATTTTACCCACGCTTCCAATACTATAGAGAGTAAGTGTTGACGTGATATATGCGACAGATTTCACTTGAGGTAGTTGGTGCACATCCAACTATTGAAATTTCTAGGGTTAAAAAGGTGGTTTTCTAGCACATATCTTCATTACTACTTATGACTATAGCTATATGAAACATGTTGTTGGCTTGTATTAACACTAGGATGTTGTGAGTTGTCAGCCAACATTGACGTATGACCTGGAACGATTGTGTGCCGATCGAAGCCACCACACTTCGCATTCGTACACCCATGTTAATTAACGATAAGAAAAATTGTTCGATAAAAGCAAATTTGATTGATAAACAGGTAGTTGAGGATAATGCTTAATTCATTATTTCGAGAAAGATGGAAAATGAATGCAATCGGCTTTGCGCCATGTTGTAGTAGCCGATGTGAGGTCTCTGAGTCCACGTGTAACGTCCATCTAACACATTGGGTTAAACATATTCTAAAACTCTATTCTAAGTAAAGGATCTTCATAAACTCTTACTGATTCGTTTATCGAAATTGCTGTTTAATAATAACGTTTAATCAGTAGTGACAGCAGATAGTTAAATACTGCAAACCGTAAACGCAGTCCAGATGTATCGATGTTTGCGATAATTTGCGGTCACACATGAGGAAAAGTATTGGCTGTCTAGATCGAAGTGGATGGATTTTTATTTGAAGTAACTAAAGAATACTTTAATGTTTACAAGGACAGCACGGTTTTTATTACCGGAATGCATTACTGTTAAGTTTAGTTCATAATTCTTCCAAGTAGCTAGTCTTGTAAATTCAACACCAATATCACCAAACCAAAAGTATGAGCCTATCTGCTATTGCCATTGGTGACTTTTGAGGATTATTGTTTCACACCCCGGCTTAATAAACCTGTATACAATTCCATATATCGTTCCCAGTTCGATGGTTCATTTAGTATATGGTGCCTCGCATTCCTCTGCGAAAAGTTGTTTCGGGAAATTTGTGGTTTTTCTGAACTTTTGCCGAAAAATTACTTCATCACAACATCTGCTGACCTCATCTTATATCAGATTACCATAAGTACTCTTATTTGGCGACTTTATTTCTTGTTTAAATATATTCTACATAATTTATTCCAAGTGGAAGTCTCTTACGAGATGACTTAAGCATTTAAAGTTATTTATTTATGTCCCGTTGTTGTTGTAAAATCTAGCTTTATTTATAGGGGAAATTTTTTGCTACATTGTACTGCAATCACTGGTTTATTAAAGACAATATTTCCTTTTTGTTTGTCTTGTCAGTTTTTACTGTCTAGTGAAAGTTTTGACTTCCAAGCCTCGTTGTTTAGTAACTTATCTATCCAATTTTGCTTGTTTCTCATACAGCTGGATTATTACAAATTCATTCCCACACACCTCGTTATGCATTTCATCAGGCGCGGTTAGATTCATTTCCAAAAGTAATTCATTCGAAGGATTCTGCGAATGATTCAACAATATGCCGATCAAAGTCTCCAGTTCCATCTCCTTCTGAGCTGGCGTCGGCAGGCTTTTTTCACACCGGTTCTGGGGACGAAACTATCTGCCCTGCTTGTGGTTTGGGGTTACGTGATTGGCAGGCCACAGATCAACCTGAAGCGTGTCATATCGCATATTCGGCTGCCGCAACAGCTGCCATAAAAATGGGTTCGGGAGACGGACATTATCGCCCACCTATCCCGACTATACCATGTCTTTATCTTATTGTCCATCGTCTTCTTGTTTCCGAAATTCCTCTTGCTCGTAAATCTTTGGTTCCAGTTGGACAAACGCAATCTGTCCGAGGTCTCCCTGGAGTAATCTCTCGGCCTGTAGTACATTTCACTGACCAATCTTCTCAAAACTCATCTTGTGAATATCCATCTTTGGCAGATAGACTATATGCGATAGCTCATATAATGACTGCGTCTCCAGCTCCTCAAGGATGGCCAGTAGAAAATGCACGTGCTCTGGGTCATTCAGATGATTTAATTGTTCTTGCGTTGTGGCGTTTGCAAGCGGAAGCTGCTGGAATGGGGCTGGCGTGTCCACCAATAAAGTCAATCTATATCGATCCTCAAGCTACAACAGAGCTATTAAAAGCTATTTTAAGAGTTCAAGAAGGTTATGATATATCTTCTAGGAACAACCTCGAATTCTATATGGATGCTTTCGACGAGGAAGAAGTACATTCAGCCGGTGAAACATTAAGTGAAGGCAATGAAGGTGACATCACGGCAGAAGATGCTGAGACAGCAGCTTTGTCACGGTGTCGTCGATATTTGCGACCACCGCGACAACAACAATTTAGTGACTCAACTTCATCTCCTCCTTCAGTTGAATCATATGGATTACAAATGAAAAAGATCCACCTTCCTCGTTTTTATCAGTTTCTCGTTTGGTGGTCTCATCGTTGGCCTGCAACTCATAACAATAATGCCCTGAAATAATTTAAATGCCTCTAAGTACTTAATCTTATTCGAAAGACAGATGACTTGTGGAATGCACGTGCTACCCACTTTGGTAGCTAGAACACCTACTCCCAGTTGCTCATATTACATTAATCATTCAGTTTCAAAATAATATTTAATTTCATATACTTTAGGGAACAGTATCTATTTCCTTCGATATTCAACAAATTCACTTCACACCTAATATACTTGGTAAATTAAGTTTGTAATTTCCCTTGTAAAAAATAAACATCCTATTTTATGGGATTTCGAGTTAATTATCAAACATCGCAAGTGTACTCTTTTTGAGACAATTAAGGGACTTTCCAATCTGGACTTAACATCCTGTTTTACATGAGCGTTTTTTGTATTGAATTTCGTTTGAATTGACAGTAATTTAGAAGTTATTAGTCAAGTCTTTTGGTATTTATCAGTTCGAACGTATATTAATCCATAAACGGAGACTTGTAGCTTTCACTTGAAATTAATGGGACTTATTGTAAACATTTATGTTGATGTGTCCCAACATGGTTACCAGGATCCAGTCGTATGATTAATATGAAAAATAACCTGCGTAGAAGTGATCAGAAGTGAATACTTACGGTTAGTCTTAGTCGCATGGAATTCAATAACCTAAACAGATGTACCATTCCCCAGGAAATTAGTGGATTTATGTTGTGGTTGGAGGCAGTTAACAGGAAACCCTGAACCTAGATTTCATTACATGGTATTTCGGTGATTAGGCCCGTAGTTCAGTACATTCATTTTCCATATTTACAAATCATTCTATTGATGGTAGGTATTAAATTTTTTGGTAAGTCTAGCAGACGTAACTTGCTGCGTCATTACATGCTATGCAGGTCCAATGAGTCGGACTTAAGCTCGCTAAGTCTGTATAATTGCAACAAATGGTTTTGTTGCTAACTCCTAACAGGTAGTAAATTTTTGCATAGGGATTTACTGTAATTAGCTTGTGAGGACTTACAGTAATGCCATTATGTGGTTTGTAAAGAAGTTGGAATGCTTCACGTTTTTGGCAGACGATATAATTATGTTATCATGATTCTCAATGTGAGCTTTTCCTAGATTACTGTAGTAGTTGTTGGTTAAACAATTAGTAGCAATGAGATTTCACATGACTGAAAGCTTTAATGTACACTTAACTATTAATGCTTTATACATAACTCAAAATAGACTAAAAACTATGTACATCCTGAACGACAGTTTAATAAGAATAGTTTTTTTGTTACCAAGAATAAAAGTACATATGACGCAATCCATAATCTGAAATTCCACCTTGGGAAATAATCTGGTTCACTGTTTATGAGACTTTTAGAATTGACAAAAGGAATGTTGTATCTTACTGAAAGTGTTCTTATAGTTCACTGGTTGATAGCAATTATCAGCTATCTGGGAAAACAATTGATCAGAAAGTAGGATTTCTCATTTATTGACCGAGTGGTGATCGATTTAAATTATCCTGCGTAAGCTTTTTGATGAGTTATTTAAAGAAGCTGAGCATGCAATGATGGTTATACGTCGATCTAGGTCACGAAGGGATTTTAAGTGGATAGGAATGTTTTATCTTAGTTGCACTATGAATCCTTCTTAAGCCACTCCTGTATACTGTGAATGGGATTACTTATGTATGTAATTATTGGCTAATTTTCTGGTATCCCTTTGTATCACCAAGCATATGTAAATTATTTTCATCTGATGTGTCATAACCTATCTTTTTAACAATCAAGCAGTATCTTACATACCTTCGAGCTATCTCTTTCCCTCAACATAGGTTGTTAGTTCACATCCGGAAAGTATGTATTTCGGGAAAAAAACCTTAGAAATGAGTTGTCATATCCGCAATTATTTAACAACTGAATAGAAAACACGGAAGATTTTGGAAGTTACTATCGACAAGGAACACATACATAGCCCTTGTCAAGCAACCTGATGACGATGTAAGATTAGGTCCATTAAGGAGCTTGAGTAACCACACATGAGTCATCGATTTGTAGACACTACATTCAAGTCAATAATCTCATCACTTCTTACAGTACATCAATAGATGTACTTACCATACCTCCCCTAAATTTTGTAACTTATTTCAAATCTGGATACAAGTGCGTCCATTCTTGTTCTTCCTCAAAAAATTGACCCTATTATTTCTCATTTGTTTTTCTTGGTAGTGTCCTCTCTTGACTCTAATGATTCCCTTGTTAATAATGACTTTAGATAATACTGTCTGACAGATGAAGAAAATGATCAGTACGCAGGATAATTGAGATTTGGAGAAATTGTAAATAAGCCAAGACCATATTATAAACACATGCGATGAATAGCTAACATATTCGCTGTACAACTAAACATTTTATTAATTCTGTTGTAACAGCGCAATACAATTTCATGCTGCGTTTTATTTACACGCATAAATATTGGTACAAGTTGGCACCAGATATATATACTGCGTACTTCAAATTCGAGTTACTGTTTGTCTTGTCGAAGTCCTAGGCTTATTAGGATCATCAGTATTTTGTCAGGCTTTTTTCAAATTCACATATACTGATGTGCATTCGCACCAAATACGTTTCTAGGGCTTGAGAAGCTCTGTTTAGTGTCAGAAGCACAGTAAGGTCACCGGTAAAGTCAGATTTTTGGTGCTACTTGATATCTTAATTCAATGAGTTGGATAGTTTCCAAGTTACTAATGCGGGAGTTGCGAAAAGCTGATGAATACCAACTTCAAACGCGGCATCACTACACCATAAGGCAACCGCTTTTACAACCACACTCGATTTCAGCTTCATTAGATAATGATGAGAGTGGGACTGACTTAGAAATAACCGAGTCACAGAGGCCGTTGAATGGTGGTCAACACTACTTCAAACCATGTTATCTTTGCATGATATTGCACATCAGCGACCATACAGAGAAACTTTATACGTCGACGTCGCAAAGCACATACGACACTTCACGAGTACTAATCACAACTAACCAGGTGCTCTCGGTAGCCAGTATACCACGGTAATAATAAAACCATATAGCATGTATGTTCAAGATCGTTAGAGCCTTCCTCAACTATACTGCTAAGAAATATTCCCAATAGGGCTGTATCGATCAGTCCACGGTAAACGGTCGCAAGTTAATTACTTGATGATGACTCTTCCCTGGGATTGTTTTCTGAATTGTTAGCTGTTTTTAAATAAATATATACAGCCACATCACAATGATTATACGAAAATTTAAATACAAGATGTAATTCGCAAGACTAATTCATCAATAACTGAATCTAGGATTTTGTAGAGAATTGAGGTTAACCAAATGTCATACAAATTGATATGAAGACATAGTCGGATAAGTTTATTTTTATTTACTAAGACGATTTTATTACAAAGTTTGAATAGTGCTGAATTTTACATTGCTTCTAAAATACGACACTACATATGGAATTTATTTAGGAGCTGAATCGACAATGGATATGTGGGAACTGTTCTGACAAATAGCTGTAAACATGGGATTATTAGCATGCAAAAACATAGTGATTGTACGATTTGCATAGTATAAATCATCTTCTTCGAGATTTCGAATAACTTCTTCGAGTATATGTGCTCTACATGCATTAGTGCCATAGTTGTCCCCAGAATCGATGTGCACAAAGTGAACATGAAATCTGTAAAAGGTCGGTGGATAATGTATGTATGCAAGAATTTGGTCTTTTGATAAAATAATTTTCGAATTATCGCCAGACATTTGATTGTCGGATGTTTCTGACTTCGAATATTTGCGAAAGAGTGCATCACGACCTAACTCCGCCTGTAGCTCCTCCAGGGGCTACTGCCGGTCCCAAGCCCGGGTAAAGGAGGAGGGTTGGGCATGGGGTTAGCGACCCCATCCCGTAGAAAATCAACTCGCTAAAAAAAACGCTAACCAGAAAAAATCATTCAAACCTTTCAAACTCTGCCCTGGGAGTAGAAGGAAAAATGACGTCTCATGATGAAAGCCGAGTTCATTCGGAAGTCATGAGGCCGATGCACCTTCTTACAACCAGAGCGACAATTTTTATAGGTACATGGAATGTCCGGACAATGTGGGAGACCGGCAGAGTCTTCCAAATTTCTGCGGAAATGAGGAAATACAACCTGGAAGTGCTTGGAATCAGTGAAACACATTGGACGCAGGTTGGACAACAACGACTGTCTTCAGGGGAACTTCTGTTATACTCCGGTCATGAAGAAGAAAATGCCCCACATACACAAGGAGTGGCACTGATGCTGTCTAGAAAAGCACAAAATGCACTTATAGGATGGGAATCTCATGGACCGAGGATCATCAAAGCCTCCTTCAGAACAAAGAGAGAGGGCATTACAATGAACATCATCCAATGCTATGCGCCGACCAACGACTACGATGAAGACGCTAAAAACCAATTCTACGATAGGCTGCAGTCAATCTTCGAAAAGTGCCCAACCAAGGACCTGACCATTCTAATGGGAGATTTCAATGCAAAGGTTGGAAAGGACAACACTGGATACGAAGACGTCATGGGACAACATGGACTGGGAGAAAGGAACGAAAATGGTGAGAGATTTGCAAACCTATGTGCCTTCAATAAACTGGTCATAGGTGGCACCATATTCCCACACAAAAACATACACAAAGCCACTTGGATTTCACCGGATCACACTACACAAAATCAAATCGACCATGTCTGCATCAACAAAAAGTTCAGGAGGACGATGGAGGATGTGAGAACCAGAAGAGGAGCTGATATAGCATCCGATCACCATTTGCTGGTCGCCAAGATGAAACTAAAACTCAAGAAGCACTGGACAACGGTGCGGACAATATCACAAAAGTTCAACACGGCCTTTCTTCGAGATGCTGACAAACTCAACAAATTCAACATAGCCCTCAGCAACAGGTTCGAGGCCTTTCATGACCTACTCAATGGAGAGGGAACCACCATAGAGAGCAGCTGGAAAGGTATCAAGGAGGCAATCGTTTCAACATGTCAGGAGGTTCTGGGCCAAAAGAAGCACCATCACAAGGAATGGATCACTGTTGGTACACTGGATAAAATTGAAGCAAGGAGGAACAAGAAGGTAGCAATCAATATCAGCCGAACAAGAGCAGAAAAAGCCAAGGCACAAGCCGAATACACAGAGGCAAACAAGCAAGTGAAGAGGAGCATCAGGACCGACAAACGTAAATATGTGGAAGATTTAGCGATGACAGCGGAAAAGGCTGCAAGAGAGGGAAACATGAGACAACTGTATGATACAACAAAGAAACTTGCTGGAAATTACCGTCAACCAGAAAGACCAGTGAAAAACAAGGAAGGCAAAGTAATCAACGATATTGAAGAACAACGAAACAGGTGGGTAGAACACTTCAAGGAACTCTTGAATCG